AACGCTCTATTCTGAGAGGTCTTTATATGGAAAAATATTGCAATTTTCAAAACTTCTCGGTAGAAGTGACTAAATATTTCGGTATGAAAATTTTGGACCACCTGGGGCAATTTTTGAACCCTCTCTCGTAGAACGGAAAGTAAAATTCATACGGCAGAAAGGTATAATTTTCAGTCTTTCGTGATGGAAAAACGATCTGTACCAAATTTGGACCATCTCGCCCTACTTTTTCGATCCTATCATAACAAGAATTGTCACGAAAATTGATCCATAATTGTAATTTTATACAAAAATAACAATGTGATGTAGGGTATTTAATGGTGTGCCTTGCCCGACTCAAATCTCGTTATGTTACTACAAACGATTGCGAATGCCACGACAAGCTACAAGTACATTTACTTCCAAGTACATTTTACGATTAGTTGCGCGTACCTGATCTACTTCAATTTAACGGATAATAGATACTAAGAAAAAAGGCTGCAGATAAAGTGATTTGCAGATTCTAAGAAGTTTTTAAGAAATTCCTTTTAATTATTTATCTTTTCCTTGCAACCTTGTAGACCTTGATGTGTATTAAAATTGCTTATCATGGTTTGAAAGCTTCCGAAACATTTTTACGATTTTATAAACACATCTTTTATTATTTAGTAATTTATGGTACTTACGGCAAACCGGTTCAACATACACGGATTCACACAAACAGCCACACACACACACACACACGCACACACACGCATCAAGACGTAAACTAATAATTAAAAAAAAAAATAAATAAATAAATAAATAAAAAAAAAAACTAATTCAATAACGCTTATACGCATTTTTCAGTTGGTCGGTCATTGGTTTGTTGCGTTGACAAAGTGATCAAAAGCAGGAAGACAACAACAGGGGCATAACATTAATCTTGAAAATGAAGAAATAAAATAAAAGCAACAAAAAATTGTAAAAAAAAACAAAAAAAAAAAAAAAAATATATTTTTAAAAAACCCTTTTTCCCCCCCCTTTTTTTTTTTTTTTTTTTTAATACATTAAAGTAAACATTGCGCAGTCTCTCTTGCTCTTTCTCTATCTCACTCGATTCCTGTCGCTCCATTTTTCTACTATTTAGATTCTCGTTTTGATAGAGTTTTCTTAGGTTTAAATTATTGCTGGCATTCATTAATTGCCCATATAATGGAAACATGACATAGACACACACACACTTCAGCTTAACAAATGTACTCTAGTGCAAATACAAATTGTGACATTATTCGGGTTTTTATTATCTATTTTGTGATTTGCTTTTTCTATTTGTTTTTGCTTTTTCATGATTACTTTTAAGCAAATTGTTTTTTTTTTTTTTTTAAACAAATTTGTTTATAAATCCGTTATTATAAGTGATTTTTCAAGATTTTATTTTTATTCATCAAATTTATATGTCTATCTAAATGTATTCGCAGGCGTGTATGAAGAAATGCCGGCAGCCTTAATACTTTCCAGATGTTAAAACAACATAACATGACCGTGCTTGTGTGTGCCCGTTTGTCGAAAATGTTTAAATAAAAGCATATACGGCTTATATGGTAATGCATAAATTTTTATTAGGATGGTTTTTTTTTTTTTATTTGTTTGACGAAAAATTTCCCCGCCATAGTACCTCTCGCGTTTTTCCTTCTCCACCTGTTCCTTTTTTTCATTTCTTTTTTTTTTTTTCTTGTTTTTTTCTTGTTCGTTGTTTTGGTGATATTAGGAAAAGCCGGTTTTTTTCCTTTATCTTACGGTAAATTGTTCCACATATGGAGTTTTCTTGGGGTGTTGCGTCCGATATCATGTACCTTTTTTTATGTTTGCATTTACCTTGTATTTGTTGGTGGTCATAACAGTGCGCACTGTACGTATGCTTACACACGTCTATTACCACTTCCTTATTATTGATTACCGGGATCTCTGCGGTCTTGTCTTACTTACTTACATATAAAATTATTTATATTTCCACAAGTTTTCGTGTTCGTTTTATTTTATTTTATTTTATTTTTTTTTTTTTTTTCCTTTTTCTCTATTAGAGTGCGCGCGTATATATGTCTTGTGCGTTTATGAAATATTCATTATTTCCTTAATATTATGAAATAGTAGACAAAATTACTCCATCTTTCCTTTTTTTTTTTTTTTTTTTTTTTGGGAGATGATAAGACTTTTAACTCCTTTGAGCATTTTATCTGGCGAATATGAAATATTTTGAAAATTTTTATTTGAATGGAGTTTTGAAAGTTATCTTTAATTTAAAATTTATTAAAAATACTCTTCGCAATCACGGTGATTACACGGCTATCTTAAAAATGCTAATAACATTGCGTGTAGACGGAGTGTGCAGCTTGCAGATAATGATAATCGAAATGTAGGTATATACGTACAAATATATATAGGGACATATATATGTATATATATGTAAATATATATATGTATATATATGTAAATATATATATGTATATAGGCACATGTATATGCATATGTATATATATATATATGCATATATATATATAGAAATCGATCGCAGGAACAACACTAGAATGGAGGTTGAAAAACTTAATAAATATATGGATACAGCATAAGCTGGCACGTATATTTACTTGTAGTTGAACTTTGACGTACAATCGAGTTATATATTCCAAAACCCCACTCCGCCCACCGCCAACCCTCTCTTAAAATAAATTAATAATTTCCAATTAAGTGAAATTTTAGATTTTAACCTTCCTATGACCCATGTAACGAGAAAGCATTCCCACCTTTCTGAGATGAACTGATGTAATCGAATAAGTAGATAAGAACCTAGCGACTACAGTTCATAATTCAATTGCTCATATTTAACTGAAACGACATATCGTCAGAGGTCTTCGGACGGAACTGACGACCCTCTCTCAAAATATCCGTATTGCTGGCCCTATGCCGTGAAATCCCAATCGATGAATGCGGATTCTTCTATTTCGGACGGAGGTCTGTTACCTCGTCGACGGTTCGATCCAAAAGGAAATGGATGTTCAATCTTCTTCTCTTCTGAAATTCGAAGTATGTCAACTGGGTCATTTTGAATATGGTATTCCCATTCCGTTCTTTATTTAGCATTCCCTTAAATACTCACAAGAGAATAACAAAATGCTTGGTATAAAAGAAAATGAGTGGAAAGTGAAATATACTTATCCTACTTTAAAAACATAGGAATAACTTATAATTACCTGTAGGACGAAAACAAGATACGCGACTTTGGTCCTTACAAATTTCCAATTCATACACAATGCTATTAATCTGAAATTAGACTCTAGTGCGGTCACCCGCAAATTCACTACATAAATATCCATGATCATCTCGTAAGTAAAACCCTAATAGGCAAACACTACTACTATTTTATATCAATAAATTGCTATTATACAAATATATTTGATGACAGTGCAAAATGTTTGTGTAAAGATGATCGCGATTTCTTAGCAGGTATGTCAACAATTAAGGGAATACTTTGCAATCTTTACGTTAGGCATTGAAAATTAGCATAATTATTCCACACCAGTACGTCAGTCCCTCCTGTAGCCCAAAAAGCTGCAAAGGCTTCTTTTTTATTTGAAATCAGAGTATGTTAATGTACTTAGGCATATAGGAGCATAAAGCGTGCAAGCTAAGCAAAGATAATTAGACAGGACATGATTTGTAGATCAATATACTAGCAAGTCCATGGTCGTGGGTTCGAATCTCAAATGCGATAGCCTTAGATGCTAGTCTTAGAATTTATTCCTCTGGCGAAATTAATAATAATAATAATAATAATAATAGATCAATATAATTATCCAAAAAGTTCCTTTTAAGTCGGTCGCTTAGTTTCATAGTTGTAACAAGTGAAAGATTCACAGATGTGAGAGCAAAAGAGCATTAAGTTAGCAAGATAAGCAAGATTATAGTCTTCAAACACTAGCACTAGCTTTATTGAGAACTTTACCGCGCTTGAGATTTCAACCCAAGATCATTGAAATCTCAGTGGAAATCTTAGTGCCTACTCAGCCACTCAGACAGAAAAATATTTTTTTATTTTTTTTTTTTTTTAAATATACGAAAAATAATAAGCCGCTAATGGACAGCTTTAACCATTAAACATCATAATTAAAACGATTCATAACACCGCTAAATAATTATTAATATGCCGACGTGATTACCTTGCTGTAGGCACTTTTTCAGAATTTCTTCTTCTTTACATTTGAAATTCATACAATTGACACAAATATACTAAATGCATGCACGAGCACGCATAACTGGACATAATACGGCAAACGCGTGCCTTTAGTGCTGTAAAGTTCCGTGTGAAGCCAAAGTGAATAAAATCGTTGAAAACATTTCAAAATGTTTAATATCAATTAGGTGCATCTGATCATTACGTAACTTTACGTTGCTTCCAAGCTGTGCCAAAAGCTTACAAAAACTTTAATTATGGCAAGAAAAGTAATTAAGTTAATGCAGAAAGAAACGAAATGAAACTCAAATGTGAAATTCAAAGAAAGAAAATAATTATAAATAATGTAAACAATTTTGTTATTCAGCAGACTTCAAGGAATGTCACAACTAATTCTTAAAAAAACATTACGTATTAAACATACAAATAGATGACATCGATTCATTTCAACAGATTCATATCCGTATCCAAGCATAAAGTTTGCCTTTCTTATCGTAAAATTGACTGTTTAGGTCAATATACGATATTATTAAAGA